CACCAAAACTAAAATACACATCTAAGCATGGGGAGATCTTAGTGTTCCAACCATTCACCAAACATCTTGATTTAACATGGCATATCTTAAATAAATAAATAAAGAATTTTACGGTCCAATAATCAGGAAGTGCATTGTTAGCATACTAGTTGTAAGCTTTTAAACGTCAGGGCAAAACTCCAACACTAGTCACTGAGAGTTGTGTAAAATGCTTAAAAAGTAAGTGAGGAATAACGTCGTTGGGCCACTTTAAACCCTTTAAAATCAACTAGTTTTACAAAATATTCATTTCAAATCACTAAGATAACAAAAAGAGTAAATAAAAATACATTACTGGACCACAATGACTCAGTGACTTTCATAATGCTATTAAAGTGAGTCTGGTAAACAATATGCATGGCTCCAAGCTAAACACAAGCTTAACAGGAAGCAGTAAAAAACGCTAACAGGTTTTTTGAATACTCCTCTTTCATAACAGTTAAGTATTCCCAGTGGTATCACATTCCCATAAAAGTTCTACCTTAAAGTGAGACGGCACGTAGTAATGAAGCCTATTAAATGACAGAACTTTCAACTCTGACCCCACTTTATGCACGGACTAATCTGCAGATGTAAAAACCGACCGGACAGCTGCAGTAATGGTGATTCAGACAATCAGCAAACTCCAATGTCTTGTTGATTAGGGGACAGAGAATGTGCCCACTCACGTTTTTCAAAGCAACTCTGCATTCAAATGAGGTATAATGTTCCCTTGGTTACGAGAAACCTACTATTACATTGTGAGAGAATACACTAAAGGAAGCTGGGAGGGTAAAATATTTTATACGTTTGTTCGAGGACCTGTACCCCATTTCTTCCCATGTGCCTTTCCCCAGTACAGATATATTGTATAAGCAGCTCTTAGGGTCAAAATACATCCTCTGTTTACCGACTGCATCTAATTATAAACAGTTAAACTATTCAGGAAGTGTCTGTTAGCATGCTAGTGGTTGTTTGCTTTACTGTCATGGCAAAACTTTGAGGCAACACTGACCTCTGAGCGCTCTGAAGTGCTGTAAACTAATCAAGGTGAATAATTAGGATGTTCGGAATGCATAAGGTAAGAGAAATAACGTTTGACCATTGCAAACTATTGAACTAGTGCTAAAGGAACTACCGTATTTTTCAGACTATAAGGTGCATGGGATTATAAGGCACAATATCAATAATGTTGAATTCTCTCATCTATTTTCACACATAAGGTGCACCGGATTACAAGGCCCATTAAGCAAAACAAATGGACGACACTTGAGCCTGATCCCTTGACCCAGGCATCCATTGGCAGATCGTGACGTAATTCGCCCGGCATTGCCTCCCTGTTTTGGTGAATGTGGATTATGAATGTGAATGTGGGTGGATAGTTTAAGTTTGTTTTTTATTTCCTACAAGGAGGATTCAAATATACAATGAGTAATAATAAGTTGAATTCAGCTTTGCATATTTGTTTACGTTTTACAGAAACAAAACTTAAAACCACATGGCTAATTTGCATAAACTATAAGCGCTGAAAACACAGCACGATCCTTACACGATCAGTTTGAGGTCAGTAAGCACAACCAGAATTAATACATAAGGCGCACTGTTGTTTTTTGAGAAAATTAAAGGATTTTAAGTGCGCCTTATAGTCCGAAAAATACGGTAACTCTTTTTTTCACATTTTTAAGACAGTAACAAATCAGGTACAGCACCTTTAAGTCAGATGCCTTTCTTGTTACAGTCAGCTTAACGGGAGGAGGGATTGTGGGTGAATCGGGTGATGTGACTTATGTAAACACAAGTTCAAACTGGCAACCCTCTGGTAAGTGGGTGAACGCTCAACCCACTGCACCACTCTCTCACCAGACTTCAGACACTTTGGTGAACATTTATTTTTCTTTAGCTAATTCTAATTTGTCTTAAATTTTCTCATTGTGGGACAAATAAAGATTTATTTATTTATTTATTTATTTTTCTTAAAGGTGCACTATGTAACTTTTTGGCTGGGGGTCCGTCACCTGCTAGTTTCTATGGATATGTCGTTGCTCTGCCTGGAATGTCTCATAGTATGACTTTAAACAGCTCTACCTTATAATTACAGATAGTTTTAGTGCTCAAAAATAGCTACAGAAAATAGGCATAATTGCATTCTGACTGGGAGCGGGATTGCCTCTCCACAGATCTAACCTGTAACTTGGTCTCGTTTTGTCTTCATGAAGCCAGAAATGAAATAGAAATTCTAGAAAAAGCAATAACACTTTCATGAATAAAAGCATTTGATGGACCCTCCACCAGAAAAGTTTCGTATTGCATTAATAAAACCGCATACATACTTGTTTACTACAGTTCCCTACTCCGAACAGCTGAATAAAGGTAACTGTAATAACTAAGAATGCTTTTATGTTCTTTCTTTCTATATTCCTAATCACTTTGCTGTGTATTCCATTGTATTGCACGAGCAGGTAGGTTCAGTACATCAGGTATTCATCAGGTGGTTGACAAAACTGCCCACGCCATTGTTCACTGTTGCATATAAATGACTGTAACATTATACAGAAAGCTCACATGTTCTGACATACTGTTCTTTATTCTGCGGCTCTCTCCTACACACCACTTAGACAAGCAAATCTCCACGCACTGTTGAAAGCTGCAGAGTACAGTTGGAAAAATGTAGCAAGTACCTTCTATTTCTGAATCCCCAAACACTAAAGCATACCAAATCAGTCTTTAAATATGTTCTTACTTGCTAAAAACCATCAGATTTAGTGAAAATGCCTGCCCCAAAATGTGCTTTAAAGCTTCCATATAACGTTATTTTCTGATCTATGTTATAATGTTGTTTCCTCGTCAAAAACAGACCTGGAGTTTTGTTTCATTCGCACATGTTTGACACACAAACCCTGCACATTTAGGGAGAAAGAAAACACTCTGTTCAGTTTGCGATATCATGCGGTAATACAGGAAGTACCCCACTGTGTTTTTAAACTCTGTACACCTTCGCTATAATCATTTGAATGATTTCAGCAGTGGAAATGCTGCCGATCACTACAGAAGAAAAGGTAAAAAGTGACATTACAATATAGAACAGAGCATTTTGAGATTTAAAGATATACACAGACTAACAATAAAGAATTACTTAAATGTGTGAATGAAACAAAACACAACTCCAGATTGTTTTGGATTTGAGGAGGTAACAACAGTATAACACGGCTTAACCTCACAAGAGTCAAATTTGCGTAATATAGGACCTTTACACTGAACTGAAAGTGCAATTTGAAAAGTTATAATTAGTCAAATCAAAACACCACAATTCATAAAGTACTACAATGCCCTTTGTAAACAAACGGTTCCATCTTAATGAGAAACAACAACGGGTAACGCTGTAATTTAGACCTCTACAAAGATGTTCTGAAATTGGATTATTGTTTTAGTTTAAAGGCCTTGTACCCAATTTTTTTCTCATGTGTTTGAGCAAAATGTATATTGTATAAGCAGATCTTGATATCAAAAAAGAAAGCCTTTTATTGTCTGGTATCAGGAAGTGTGTGTTAGCATGCTAGCCCTTTTACCGTCATGGCAAACCTCTGCTCTGGTCTCTGAGAGTTGTGAAAAGCGCTTATAAACTCATCTCTGTGACTAAAACTCATCTCAAAATATGTAAGGTAAGTGTGGAATAAATTTGAATCACTACAAACAATGAACTTGTTCTGTGATCCATGTTTTTTATTATTTTTTTTATTTTTTTTAAATCAGGAACAGCTCCTTTAACAGTTAATATTTCCGTTCCGACTTACAAATTTCCCCCTGATTAGAATTCCAGATTCCAGATTTGAAGGCATAAATTGCAAATCTAATTGTAACACCTGTTAGAAAAATTGGATATTTCCCCTTAATAATTCAACCTCTGTTCTAAAATGACTAAAATAATTCCTTCCTTGTGTAAAAATGAGTTGCATAAAACTACTGCTCTCGGGTTAATGACTTGTGGTCCTTTGTGGCTTCCAGATCAGTGTGTGTTCATAAATGTTGCAGGCCCACGTGCATGTGTGTGTGTCAATTAGTACGAGAAAAGGATTAACCATCTCCAGGGACTTCCAATTACTTCCTTGCGTGTACAAACGAAGCCTATTTTTACCGTAGATTTTGTCACGAAGGTTAACATGGCCCGCCAAAACATGTGGTCTCCGCTAGGGCCCCTCCCACGCACTAGATTGCAGTCTATGTGATGTATACAAGAGCTTAAAAGGTTAACTATCAAGATGTAAACACAGACAAGTACAAGGTAGTCCATCTGCCCAGACACAACATGTAAACATATTCAGATGGTTATTATGGAGATGGGGCAGTACTTTGTAGCAGGATAAAAAGGGTAGAAATGATCGTGTGAGGCACTGTTTGTATTAAAAATAACCCCAAAAACGACCACAACTACCCATAGTGCTCTTTTCTTAATCTTATTTCCTCTTAGAACAAAGTAAATTAATATAAATAGTTGTTTAAACATGCAACTTATTCATACGTCATAACAATAATAATGAAGAAAGGGCTTAAATCTGATGTTTGTCTTGCTCCAGCACATATATTTCGTATAAAGAGCTCGTGACATCAAAATAAATCATCTGCATCTAATTAGAAACCATTTTACTGTTCAATAATCAGGAAGTTCGCGTTTGCATGCTAGTTGTTAGGTTTAGAATCACGGTGAAGTCTAGAGTTGTGAAAAGCACTTATAAAAAACCATTGTGGTGAATAATTAGAATGTTCAGAAATAGTAAAATCAGATGTAGGACCTTTAATATCTATAATATCTTTAAACTATCAGCAATTGTAACAGTTATCGAAAATTAATCGTTTGACCGTGCTAATCGTGGCACAAAATTTCACTACGGTCCAATCCCTATTACAGACACACACGTTTTGAAGAAGCTACGAAAAAGGGCACTTCTGTCTCCTGCGGTGGACTAGATAGGGGTCTGGGGTCCTACCTTTTTGTGGTTCACCTTGGTCTCCGGTCTCTTCCGCTTTCTGCCCTTCTCCTGATGACTTCGGCTGGGGAGAATCCATTTTACAACCTGCGGGATAGAAGGAAGGAAGGAAGAAAGGAAGGAAGGAGAAAGGAGAAAGGGAGGGAGGGAGGGCAGGGAGGTAAAGAGAGAGTGCTTTTTAGAGAGAGATAAAACAGCATGATGCAGCAAATGGAAAACGTAAACTAATTATAGAGTAAGGTTGATGATTGGAGGATCTGTTTGGTGCCAAGAGGTAATTAAACCTAAACAATGAAATGTATTACTAACTTCTGAAAACACTTTATTCATTTTAAAGGTCCTCTATTATGCAAAGTGAGCTTAAAGTAATTTTATAATGTTATTGCTTCCTCAAAAACATATCTGGAGTTGTGTTTGGTTTCATTCACACGACTGAATTATCAGTCTGTCTACATTGTCAAAGCTCAGACTGCCCGTTCCACCTTGTGATGTCATGAAGTGGTAGCTTTCAAGTTCCTTTAACCTTTAGTTTAACTCAGAGATTGGCAATTATTAATTATTGGAAATTATCTGACTGATTCTAGTGAAGGTGTATGGAGTTTAAACACAATGGAGCACTTCCTGTATTACCAAATGACATCACAAGGTGGAACATAGTGTTTTCAGTTTGAGAGAGGAACTCTAAAAATAAAAATAAATGCAGGGTTAATGTGTTAAACATGTGTGAATGAAACAAAACAACTCCAGGTATGTTTTTGATGAGAAAAACATTATAACATAGATCAGAAAACAGCATAACATTGGACCTTTAAAGCAAAATTTAAAAAAAAAATATTTCTAAAAAGTGACCATAAGCATTGGAAGTCTTATGTAATATATTTGGTGGTATTGGGTCTGCAATTTCAATCACACACATTTAGCCAATCACAAACACTGCAATTTTTGAAGCACCACCATTTCCTCCACAAGCAAAATATCTGTTTTATTCTGCATTAAAAAAAAAACCAAAAACTGCTATCCCTGTAGTTTAGATCTGCACAAACACGCTCTGAAATGCGATTCTTGTATTAGACTGTCAGTTCATATTTCAGTCTTTTTGCCAGTTCCTCTGGATGTGTTTAAAATGTGAACATTGAACAGAATCCAATTATTAAAATGTAAATTTGATCTCAGTGCTTGTCAGAAAATTCACAATTAAATATTTTCCTTAATCATTCAGCCCAATCTAGTGTTAGTACAAACATTTCAAACTTGATTTCAAAGTAAAAGGTTAAATTCTCGATACCGATTTCAAAATGATTGTAATTTCATTAATATTACCACGTAGTCTTAATCAACATCATTCTTAAGCAATTTCAGAAAGGTCCAATTCTGTTTTATTTACGATTTTTCTGTATCTACTTCCGATTTGTTCAGTTTTAGGATTGATTCGTATCTGTGTATCGATATTTCTAACAACCCCAGTTCATATCACCTTCAAGATAATTCTTAAATAAATTGAAAAAGGTCAAATTTTATCCCATTTAATATTTTTTAGTATCTAGTTTCGATAAGTCTTAGTATCGATTCGTATCTGTGTATCGATATTTCTGAGAATCCCAGTTCATACCACCTGTTAACATTAGGTGTCAGTCAAAGAAAGAGTCTGCCCAAAATAGCAAAAAGAGCGGAAACTCGGATGATTTGGTTACGTAAAAAATACACTCGAGTAATTGTCTGAAAGCCGTCCTGAAGGCTACGGTCTAGTACCAAATCTTTAGAATGTCAGAAATGCGGTGTTGAGGTCCCATCTTTAGAAACGTCTCGAGAATTTCACACACAAACGCAAGAGTCACATAAGTATGCTTTTGTCGCACCAATCCATCTTCACCTCGCAACTTTTACACAGTCGCGAGGGGAATAAAAACGCACACTTCAATCTATGGTTTTGTTTAAGAACTCTGTGCAGTAAATCAGCAATCACTTACACAACTTTAAACTTCAACGTATACACCGTTAAAAGCAAGTTAAACAGTCTTATCTCGGAAATGGAAAAATAGAAGAGATCTCAATGTGTAGGATTTACTTCAAGTGTCAAATAAAAACAGAAGAGCAAGGAGATAATATAAGGAAAGCAGTTAGGAAAGAGGGAGAGTGGGTTTATGGGAAACCGGAGCGGGAGAAGACACGCAACAGATGTAAAGAGCTGCACCAGACGAAAGGAGCCAGAGCAATGCTGAACATGTCTCTAAGATGGGAATAGGTCAACCACGATTTCAACTCTGCTAAATGTTTTTACGGAAAGGAAAGGTAGAGGGACAGACAGACAGACGGACGGACAGAAGGGCATGCGAACGCGGACAGAAGAAGGAGGGAGAGAGGAGAGAGAGACTGTACCTCGGCTTTGACTTCTTGCAGCAGGCTCGCTTGTAACCACACGGAGCTCCGATCGCGCAGCCACTAGAAAAACGAAGGAGAACAAGAGAAGAGTAGCAGTGAGCCGCGGGCGAGCGAGTGGAATGCTCGGTACAGGGAGGGAGAGAGAGAGAGGGAGAGAGAGAGAGAAAGAGAGAGAGAGAGAGAGAGAGAGAGGAGGGAGGGGAGCAGGAAGGGGAGGGCTTGGAGGAGAGAGAGAAATGAGAGAGAGAGAGAGAGAGAGAGAGAGGTAGTGAGCACTTGTTTCTTCGATGACTTAATTGTGTATTTTAGATTTGCAATGGCGAGTGTTAACAACAGATAAAAGGAACATTTGATCAGGCGTTTCCAACCTGTAGCTCGCTAAGAGATTTCTGAATTATACCTATTATGCTGAATGACTCAAATTTGATGAATTAAATGCTGATTACTACTGTAAATGTATAATTCTGATGCTTAACTTTGTACACTAATAAATGGATAATGGTTTATGATTCATAGGTGTCTAACTGTACCCCTAGTTTGATTCATCAGCCGGTTTCACTTCGTAGAAACCGTCTGACCTCGCAGCATTAGAATTCATTCGCTCGACAGTAGGTGGGTACTTTTTTTTAATTTAACCAATCGCTGCTATTTGGTCGTGACGTATGTAATGCGTCAAATCCCCTAGGAAGAAGGGCAATAATTTCCCCTTGATAAAATTCACCGAACTTTCTCTTTGTTCTGGCTTAAAATCCTCGATCTCTGGAATCGTTGACAACACAGAATGTATGGCTCTTCGCTGATTGGTTGGTTCCCGAACTTGCACTTCCGGGGTTTTTGAGAACTGTCTTGTGTATTCCGGTTCCTGACCTAGTCGCTGGAGAGAAATTAATTGAGCAGAGCCTGGCTACTGTACCCCATCTATGGCTCTTATATTTCTTATATTTACTCAGTTTCTTGATACTGTTCTCTGGCATTTCCATCTTGGCAAGGTAGCTCACCAGAGGAAAAAGGTTGGAGACCACTGATGTACATAGAAAATGCTGTATTTGTAGAAATATATACAGTATTATGTCAGTGATTATTTTATATGAAAAAACAAAATTAAATCCTTAATGGTTGCACTATGTGAGTTTTTGGGTGGGGGTCCATCACCTGCTTGTTTCTATTGTTGCACCTGAAATGTTCTAGCCAGGCCGTACCTAGTGCCTCCGCTGAATTTCATTTCTCTCTAGCAACTAGGTCAGAAATTGGAATACACTCAACCCCAGCAGTTGTAGACCGCACACCAGCTAATCAGTGAAGAGTCGTGAAGCCATGACGTCAAACTCAAGCGCCTGTGTTGGTCCCTTTTGTGGTACAGCACAACAGTAAACAAAGAGGTCGAGATGGATGTAGACGAAGTCATACATTCTGTGTTGGCAACGATTCCTGAGATCGAGGATTTAAAGCCGGAACAAAGAGAATGTTTGGTGACTTTTATCAAGGGGAAAGACGTTAATGCCCTTCTTCCTATGGGCTTTGGCGCATTATATACGTCATGACCAAATAGCAGCAACTGGTTAAATAAAAAAGTACCTGCCTACCATCGAGCGAACAAATCCTAATGCTGCAAGGTCAGACAGTTTCCACAAAGTGAAACCAGCTGATGAATCAGGCTAGGAATGTTCCACAATATGACATTAAACATCTCTACCTTACATTTGTTTAATTACAGGTGGTTTTATTGCTCAAAAATACCTAAAAACAGACCTTCTGACCATGAGGGGTCACTTCTCCACAAATCTGACTTGGAACTTGGTTTGGTTAAGTCTCTATGAACATGCGGGTGTAAAAACATTCGAGACAAGCAATATAACATCTCCATGGGGAAAAGCATCTGACGCTAAGAAGCTAGGATGAAAATGAGTACCTCCCATCAAGATTATATTGTAAAAATGGCACAAGATGCTCTTTGTCTACATCAAACTGTAAATAATGTATGGGAATCCTAATAAATCAGTTCATAAACAAACATACACAGAATATCATGTGAATACTAGCAATACATAGATTTAAACGCAGTCTTCCCTTTACTAATTGAAAATCAGGTACCTCTTCTTTATTTTCACATTCATGCAGATTTGTTGCTTCTCAGAATAAAATATCCTTTAAACATGTTTAATTGTAAAAACCATCCTGACTCCTCTATTACAAAAAAATAGGCAATAATGATTTTGCCTTGAGGCGAGCTCCATCACTGCAGCTGAGGTTCAACTGGTGTCATCCTGTGAATATCTGAATACATGCACAACACTACGGGCTGTTGTTTTCTTAATAGCTTATACAGCTTGCATATAAAGAAGTACATTTGTTTTATGTCCATACCAATTATCTTCATTGCAGATGTTTGTGCAGCTTGGTGTATTTTGGTGTCTTACTTGAGATTCTGTTGAGAAATTATGATTATTATATTGATATTTTCAGTATTGACAATAATCTAGTTTTTTACCGAAGTATAAGTTGACTTACACCTCAAGTTGCGTTTTCAATTCATAGTTGCACGTGGTAAGGTGCACTACGTAACCTTTCTGCTTGCGGGTCGGCCACCAACTTGTCTCCATGGAGATGTTAATGCTTAGTCGAAATGTTCCACAGTATGGCATCAAACTTATGTCAAAATTGTAGATGCTCAGAAATGCCTTGAAAACGGATTCCAACTGTGAGTGCAAGAAGTAGCCTCTTCATTGATGTAATCTATAATTTGGCCTGGTGTTTATTCCATGGAGATAAAGCAATACCCTGGGACGTTCCTGACAAAGCAATAACATATTCTTGACATCAAGCAGGTAGAAAACCCTCCAGAAAATGTAGAGTTACACAGTTTAGCGTTTTATGTTGTAATTTTCTGACAGTCCATTATGCGAAATTGACTTTTATGAACGTTATACCATAGAAAACAGACCTGGAGTTGTGTTTTGTTTCATTCACACACGTTTGAGTAAATTTATTATTAGTCTGTCTACATCTGCAAAGCTCAAAATGCTCTGTTCCAACTTGTGATGTCATGTAGTGTTAGTTTTTTTTTTTACCTTCTTCAGCAGAAACTAAGAGTTCCAGGACTGTAAATTATCCCAAAAGATTTTAGTGAAGGTGTACGGAGTTTAAAAACACCGGGAAGCACTTCTGAGAGAAGAACTCAGCCTAAATATGCAGGATTTGTGTTTTAATATGAGTGAATGAAACAAAGCAAAACTACAGATATGTTTTTGATGAGGAAACATTATAACATCGATTAAAAAATAGAGTAATATGAGCCCTTTAACAGTGGCCATGTTGCTTATTCGTCGGCTGATGACGCTTTACTCTATCCCCGCCTGTTTCCAGTAGAGGGTGTGGAGATGAAAAGATAAAACAAAGATAATTCTCTATTTGCAAAGCCTCCACATTATGGATTTACGAGCCATGTAATGTGCACATCAAACCTACTTCAGTGCTCTTAACGGCCGTCAGGGAATGGACACACAGACTGTACCCAGCCTCCGCCCACTCACTACTCACTATGTCTAACCTTATTAAAGCTTTCAGCACGGATCACTTTGCCTGACAGGTCCGGAGTGATATCTCTCTGGATTTTTTATACGGAGGGATGTCACTCTGGTCACACGACGAGACGTTCAGACTGTGCAATCGGATTTGTTTATTCCAGTGACGCATTTGAAACGAAGGAGCTCCTCTTTGGGCAACCATCGTTTTAAACTAAATCTAAATTCTCTCAACTCCATCTTTTTCTTGGAGTTTGCGCAACCGGCTTGTCTCCATGGAGATGTGATTGCTTTCCCTTCCTGTTGCTCAAAAACACCATAGCTCCTTCTGTGAATACGGGCAACTGTTCACAGATCTGAACTGAAATGAGCGTAGTGCTGTAGCCTGCTTGTCTCTCCCGTGATAGATAGGTTTAATTTATACTACGTTCTAAGACAAAGCAATAACATTTCCATGGAGACAAACAGGCGACAGATCCTCCTAGAAATGTTACGTTTAAAGGGACAGTCTGGAATTTTGGACATAGGACCTCATTTCCTAGTGAGCCAGAGAGTTGGAGACGTGTGGAGACATTTTTTTTTTTTTTTAATATTCCATCCATTCCTTGTATTTGCAGAGGTCGCTGGTGCTAGGTTAGTGCACATCAATGGCCATAGTTAGTAAAAGAATTATAACGCCAGACTGTCAATGTAAATGTCTGTGTTGATAGAATAATTTTAGAAGTAAAACTAACCTTGCATTTGAAGGATTTATAAGGAGCAGTGAGTTGTACTTCCTGATAGAAAGCTGGGCAGTGGCGTACTGATATATGAGAAAATAGTCCCTCAACATGCGACGATTCATGCGATGCAAGGTTAATTTTATTTCTAACATTATTCTATCAACACGGACATTCACATCAACAGTCTGGCGTAATAATTGTTTTGTTTCGGGTGGTTTGTGAAGTGGGTAAGACTGTTTTTAGTGGCAGGCTAACTATGGCCATTGACATGCACTAGCCTAGCACCAGCGACCTCTGCAAATACAAGGACTGGATGGAATATTTTAAAAACTGTCTCCACAAGTCTCCAACACTCTGGCTCACTAGGAAATTAGGTCCTATGTCTAAAATTCTGAACTGTCCCTTTAAGTTTAACACTTCGCTCAACGTTCCTGTGATATATACAGCAGACATATTACTTTTGTTACGTGTGTCCCTGATTGGGTAATGCATCTGTCAATCACGCCCATATGAACTCAGGGAAATTCAGCAATGACCAGACTCACATCTTTATAAAGTAATGGAGAAGTGCGTATTCTGGATTCCAGGCTACATCTCACTACAGACTAATTAACTGATGCAAATTTTGAGACTCCCAGGAATAAGATATTATAAGCGAGTTAAAATAAAAATAGATGGACTCAGTTTTTAGAAGTTTCGCTATTAACCAGAAGCCCGGAACAAGCGATCTGGTAAGTAAGTCCAGTTGTTTTTGTTTTATAATACTACAGAATAATAGAATTCCCAATTCAGAGCTGTGCAGAGGACAGAAAAGGCG